CAGGCAGGCAGGCAGGCAGGCAGGCAGGCAGGCAGCAGGCACCTCGATGTTTGTAGGCTTTTTATCTGGGACAGGTGAGCAGAGAAATTGATAGAGGGATGGAATTGGGAGTCAGAAGGTTTGGTTTCAGTGGGGGTAGAGGGAGTGATAGTGAGGTGAGGCATTCCATCGGGGAGAGGAAGCCAAAAGGGGACTGGAAAAAGGGTCTTTCAGTGCTCAGGAGACCTCTACAGGGCTCTCTTTTGGGACGAGAGGAGACAAGGTCTGTTGGCTGTCTTCCTAAAGGTGAGGTGGAAAGATTGATGTGGAGGCATTTAGGAAAGCTGGAAAAGAAGACTAGGAGAGATGTCCTGGCTGATCAGCCCTTGTCCTCTCCCTGTAGTGGCCGCTGACCCCAAGTGGGGTGTGGAGTGGATAGAGCTGCCGAGAGGCCTGGGGCTGGCCCCTCATCGACCTGCAAGGACCTTGCTTGGGTGGAGCCGACCCTCCTACCCGCCATCTGTGGACAGCCAGGACTTATCGCAGGTGCCGTGTTCCTTCTGTTTGGGGGTGGGGTGGGGGTGGAGTGGGGGGAAACGGGAGATGGAATCGGGGGTAGAGGAACCATTTCTTCCTGGTGAGTGAGGTTCCTGCAGCCCTGTAAATTCAGACCTCCTCCTTTCTTTTCCTTTCCTTTCATCCCTCTTCCCCTCCCCCATCCTTTGATTCTCCCCCTTCCCCACAAATACAAGGGTACCTTTCTTGGCAAATGTCTTATCCCAGACCCCACGCCCCCGCTCCTGGCATGCCAGCCCCACCAGGGCTGACGTCAGTGCATCCCTGATGGTATCCGGGGAGACTGTTCCATGGTGATCTGTTGCCATGGAGATGTACACCTTGTCTCAGGCAGGCGGCAACTGGGAGCCCTGGGAGGGAACACGAATGGGGTTAGTGTCAGGCCTAGGGGATGGGAAGGATCAGTGAATTCCTTCCCCCCTCTCCCCCGCAAGGTCCTCCATTGGGCCTTAGGGCTCTGGGTCACCGTGGAGGCCACCGGTGCTGTCCAGGTGCTAAGTAAGCCATGTCAGGGGCCAGCCAGCCTTGGGGATGGGGGCCAGGTGCCAGGTGGGGCTGGGGGTGGAGTACCCCGAAGTGTGAAGTGGACAGTTGGCTGGGTGTGAGAGCTCAGGGACGTTCCCCGTTGAACTCTGCTCTAGTCCTATCCACTTGGAGAGAATGCACCTAGAGCTCTTGGCAAACCTTCCTGAGGACATTTTTATGAACGTACGTTGTTACTATTATTGTTTCTCAGAGAAGCCCTTGTCTCCCCCGCCAACCAGCCTTCCTCCCTGGGTGACCTTCTTCCTCTGCCAGTGACCGATGCCTTGCAGGACCAGTCCTACTTGGGCCAAACCTGAATTTCAACCTTGGTCCTTTGATTCTTCCCAGAAGCATGGGAAGATGGGTGCTGCCAGGGAGTACCCTAGAGGGGGAGGAGGAGCAAGCTGACCGTCCAATGTGCTGGCTCTCCCCTCCTCAGGTGAATGTTGAAGACACTGTCGAAATGCTTCCCAAGTCCCGGAGAGCACTCACCATTCAGGAGATTGCCGCACTGGCCCGCTCTTCCCTGCACGGTATGGACCTTCCTCATCCCCTCCCTCCCACCCCTCATTCCAGCTCCCACAGAGCTCAGACTCAACATTGTGGGGCATTAGAGCTGGAAAAGACCATCTAGGCCAGCCAGCTAGGCCAAGAATTCCTCTCTACACTGGTCACAGAATCTCAGCTAAAAGGCAACCCGGAGGGCATTTCATCTGGCCTGTGCCTCATTAAGAACCTGCTCTCCAAGGTGCCCTCCAGGTGGTCCTCGGGACTCCTGAAGAGTGGCTGTGCCCACACTGTGTGCCCTGCTCTCTCTCTCCCCCATAGAGGACGGCTCTAACTCCTGAGCGTGGTGACCATTCTTTGCCTTGGTCATTCCTCGCCTGTGTTCTAGGGACGGTTTATGTGTGATGCCCACCACAGAGCTATTTCAAGGAGCGTGCTTTGTACATGGTGAAATGCTGCAGAAATCCTTCCTGTTCTTCACTGTTTCTTCCCAAA